CTTTCTCTTTTACAATAACAATTCGTAATCTGGTCACTTTTCCTTCAAGAGAAAACAACCAAGGAGAACCGCGGCCTTTTACTATAGAGCAGGGGTGGCCAAACTTTTATCCCTTAAGGGCTACTTTTTCGGTAATAGTCTGCTATTGTCTGCGAGCGACTATGAATATGTCACGTTACTGTCTGACACATGATTTTGCGCCATTTTATGCGATTGCCATTTATATGCACATACGTTAACATTCATTTGCATTGCTCATCGGGATAAATACAAACAGTATGGGTACATTGCACAGACAGTCTATTATTGTAAGAATAAATTATCGAATTAAGACTTCTAAACATTAATTTAAGTGAAAGCGAATTGTTCAACTTTAGCTTCGCAGGGCTATTTTCAAAACCTTTGCGGTCGACCGGTCGACTGCGGTTTACGTGTTAGCCATCACTGCTATAGAGTGTAATAGCTAGTTAAGTAAATGCGTATATATCTTTTGTGAAATTACGTGAGCTGGAAAAATATTGCTGAAAGCACATTGTAATAAGTGAAAGAAAGTGTGATTAGGTCTGATGGTTGCTAATTTAATTGCTACACTTAACAAAAAAGAAAGAAATTTTTCAAACAATCAATGAATACAGGTTTCGTGATGGTTTCGATTGATTTAGCTCTTAGTAGTGCAATGGAAAACGATTATGCCCTTAACTGAAAAAAAACAGGATTCTGAAAACACATTCACCAGATTGAAATGCATTTACTTTTCTTTGTAGGAAAAGTGAGGGGTCATCTATGGATATTCTTGGAAAATGAATTGTTATTTAAAATAGGTGGATATTTCTGGTGAGGTCAGTACAGGCAAATAAAAAGCAATAATATAACAGATTGACCCAAAGACTTAAATCATTGGAAAATAAAAAAAATTCTTCAAAATTTTCTTTGACATCGTGTTAACGACAGATTTTTGAAACTAATCGTAAACAAATGACGATATTTTGGCTATATAAACATCACCAAACCCGATATAATAAAGCTACATACCAACAGACTGCCGAAAATCTATCGGGCTAGTTTTATGCTAATTATTAAATAAATTACGTAATCAATTTGGCACTAGAGGTAAGCGTTAGGCGCCATCTCTTATTAATATTAATAATTATAAATAAATTAATTAATTTAAATAATTTAGAACCGCTGGGAGAAAAAATCGGCCCGGAGCGGGACTCGAACCCACAACTCCTGCTTACCGTGCAGATGCGTTGCCAGTTACGCTTACCGGACCTCCAGTCCGATCTCCTCTTCCAGCGTATATAAGCTAACTACTTAACCATCGACGGTTATTACAACGCCGGCTGGGGACACATTCAGTGCCCACGTCCTACATCTCATAAGGCTCTCAACCGGCCATCGCAAGCCCCGGCAAGGCGTAATATATATATAAACATCTTTTTTCTCCCAGCGGTTCTAAATTATTTAAATTAATTGATTTATTTATAATTATAAATATTAATAAGAGATGGCGCCTAACGCTTACCTCTAGTGCCAAATTGATTACGTAATTTATTTAATAATTAGCATAAAACTAGCCCGATAGATTTTCGGCAGTCTGTTGTTATGTAAATATTTTGGCTATTATCTTTCTTAAATACTTTTGTAAATTACATTTTTTGTTCATTATTCACAATTGATTATAAAATTATTGAACATTTGAAGTAACTCATTCTCAATAAAATGATTATACTGTTTATATTAGAAAGCTTTGTGTTTAAATATAAAAGCACAATGGAATTTTGTGAGAATAAGGACGAGGGGTCAATACCCTGTAATCGTCGTATCTGAGGGGTTAGCTCACTGTGCCACTAGATGGCTTAATCTTAAAAGAGTTTGAGTGGGAAGTTCTGGGGTGTGCAATAATAGGCAATAATAAAGGTGGCCATATAATAAATGCAAAAACCAACAATTTAATAAAGTAAAACAAAAATAAGATACAGAATGAAAATACATTGGACCTAAGTTCCCTATGTCGCGAGAGAAAAAGAGAGAGTTTACAATAAGTCCTGTTACCTCGTTAGTCATTTCGGTGGAGCTGATGTGCAGAGGGGAGCAGTAGCAGGTTCACTCAGTGGTCCGTGGAGTAGCAGGAGTAGTCTTATATGGCACGAACTGCCTCTATATGGCGATATCAATCGTAGATGAACTGCCTCGAGTGTGGAAAAACTTGCCCTTTTATCTTGAACTTTCCCAATTATTACCTGAGAACTTCATCAGCTGACGGGAAGGTCAGGTGTGCCAATCGTCCAGATGGTTGGGAAAAATTAAGATAAGGTGTATATTAAAGGAAACTGAATTTCTTTTTGTCCTAAGAGTACGGGTAGTCAGCAGTTTTTCAGGATGTTGCTTTACATTTTTGTAACTTTTATCATATTTAATGAAATTATTTCTATTAAAATTGTAAATATTTTTTGTGTATAGACTGATCACTGAAAGACTAGAAAAATCATCACAAATCAACATATAATGTATGTTAATATAGAATAAAATATTTTACAACCAAGTATATATTACACATTCACAAAAAGTCCATAGCATGCAACTGTGCTGTTAAATTTGGAAATAAAATAAAAATACATTAATGAAAATTACATGATTGTAACTGTATTTACAGAAGTCACTTTTTTTCGTAATTAAAGTTTTTATGCACATTTTTAAGATGTTATATAGTATAACAAGCATCTGCTGCATATTAGAAATCTTTTTTGAAAATAAATTTCTGTGTATAACATATATATCACATTAATAGAATATATACAGATGTGTTTTATTTTCATGTGTTCTTGTAGATATTTGCTTGTTGTTCGAATTTTTGCGTTAGAGAAGCAACCCTAGAAACGTGCCAACTCGATGTCCTTCCCACTCCAGAATGCAAACTAGCAGGTTTTAAGGCACTGTTAGGTCTGGGTTGCCTGTTTGATTTATTTTCTGAAATTACTGCAGAAGGGTCACTTGATACATTTTTTTTTTGTTGGTTTAACCCTGCGTTGATGTGGATTTAACTTTTGGTGGAAGTTCTTGCGTATTAACATTCGTCAGTCTTTGCGTATTATTATTACTTTCAGCAGTGAAAGACTGTGGAGCGAATGCCTGCTTTTACATGCTTTGGTGGCGGAGGACGAAAAAGAGGAGGTAAGTTTTGTTTACCATATGAAGCATCACTCAGAGAAAGAAACATTCTTCTTCTGGGTGATGTGCCAGCCATAGACTGTTATCTCTGAACAGTGGCTGGTAGTCTAAAACCGGATCTCGTAGGTGTCAGACTAACAGGTGCATCTTGAGAAATGGTAGCGCTATTTGATATCAGGTGACCATTCTGCATCTGTTTCTGAGCTGTCTCTAAAGGTACTGTCACAATTGGATCATTAGAACCATGCTGTAGGTAAAGATGTGAATGGTGCAGATATTTCCAATTTTGTTATTGTTCCATGAGGATAATTAAATTTGTTTGGTGGTGGTTTATTTGTTGTTTCATCTGCAGTTGGCTTCTGAAATTTTATAAACCACTAATTTTTTAAATCATAATAACAATGACAGACAACATATGCAACAACTGCCACAAATGGTATTATACCAAGAAATATAAGCATTGGAATAAAGAAACTCTGGCCAGCATTTGGATCTGAAGGAGAACCACTGTGTATACTTGCTCCAAATCCTGGAAAGTCATAAACGGTTGAAGCATATTTAAATTCACAATGGCAACTGTAATTACTATTGCAAGTTCCATGCTTATTACAATTTTGTGGACAACTCTTTCTTCTAATTTCATAGATAGGCACACAATTTTGGTTAAGACAAGCCATTTTTTCACCACATTTAGCTCCATTTGGAGAAAGACCAGGATCCATTGAATTTAATCCTAAATCAATTAATGCTGTCCTGCAAGCTAAAATTTTTCCTTGTACATTTATAAAAGATCGAGAAACAATAGCAGTGCAATGCATTTCAAATTTTAATTTGTAATTATAATGTGTGAATTGTAGCAATCCACAACGTACATCCCTTTTATGACATGCCTTATATTTTTTATTAACTTTATCAAAACCACAATTTTCATTGAGGTTTCCATTACTTTTCTGTTCATGACATTGTACATGGGAAGATTTGCTTGTTGAGGCCCATAAAAGTCGATACTGATTATTATGTGACTGACTCAAACTATCATAACAATAACTATTTCCATCACTGCATTCTGTTCCATCCTGTACAAGAACATCTAATAGACAATATTGTGAAAGATCACAAAACAAAGCATTAAGACAAAGAGTAGCAACAGGTTTCACCTGACAAGTTTGAATGTCACAGCATAATCCAGTTGCACAATTTGCATTAGGATTGAGTCGACATGACAATTATTTTTTAATTATTTAATATAATATTAAAAATATCAAATAAATTGTATGTATCTAATCCTTTTTAGATAGGGCTTTCAATCCCAATAGCCGCCTCTAGACAAAAAAACAGGCTTGTTCAGCTCCTCACATTTGAAATGAAATTCGGCCATAATGCATTTCACCATCTGAAATATATTTTATATACCAGATGTACTTATTTTTAAATAACACATTAAGTAACACAATTAAATTTTGTGTTACTTCCGTGTAATAAATCTATATCTTGTAAACGTCTTCGTTCAGCTGTCACCTTACAGTTGCACGAAGACTTTTACAAGATACATATCTATTACACGGAAGTAAACACAAAATTTAAATTAACGTATTCAAATAAAATATATTTTAGCCTTTAAAATTCGGCATTTAGAAAATCGGACCTGTTCTAGAATCAAAATTAGACGATTGGCGTGGAGATAAGGTAACAGAGAAGTATAAACAGTATATTCTTATACGACGTCAAACGGTGATTTTTTACGTCGGAAATCGGATTGAGTTGATGGCGTCGAAATAGAAAAAAAAACTATTTCCAAAACCAAACAGAAAAATTATTTATTGTAAAACATGTCGATCCTCGAAAATCTCCGAGAATCTAATCGAAGGAGGTGTTCATCAACCACGGCTTATGAACAGCATTCAATAGAAGGAAGTTCTAGAATTTTCAGAGAAGAAAAAGAGTCGCGTCCAGTTTCTAAAAATGATAGTCACGTGGGTCCTCACTGCTGTTCCAGAACTAGGAAAAGTCTAGTAAATTACGTAGAAGTGAAAAAATGTATTTAGCTTGTTTAATGAAATTAATTTTTTTTGAATACATAAAAGAAGTAATATTAAACTTTCGAATAACGTTTATTTTCAGAATTCCAAACTAAGTTATTTGAAAGTTTTATATAAAGAGATTTCAAGCAATGATCTTTTGTATACACACAATTTGTTTCACCACCGAAACGACGAATCCTTCGATTTCACTCGTGTTGCATACATTAACAATATAGATTACACGAAAATTTCCGATTACGAAATCGCCATGGATGCGACAGTGTCTGACGATGTATTACTTTCCATGCCGGCAGCATTCGTTATGAGAAAAGGATTTCCCCATATAGAATATTTCAATAAAATGTAAGTTCTATTTTAAATATACTAATTCTTAGATTAAAAAAGTCGTAATTATGCTTTATATTTATTTCAGAATGTACAATATATTCGAAAGTGGCCTTCAACATTATACTCCGGTAGTTCACGGAAGAAAGAATCCGATTTTAAAATATATTAACGAGAAAGCTGCCGTGAGTAAAGAAAGTGAGTCTGATGTTGACCCCTTGGTTTTAAGAAATTTTTATGGAGCCTTCTCAATTCTCGTTATCGGTTACCTTCTGTCGTTCGCTTGCTTCCTTGTCGAATTAATAATTGGAAAAAATATGAAAAGATTCCAAATTTAAATTTTACGCGATTATACCCTTAACTGTTGTAGCTCGTAATGTTTTTTTTCGTGTTAAATATATAATTTATTAATTTAAAATATTCACTTTTTTCGCCATGTTCTTTCTCTCTTCGGTATAATCGAATGGTTGATTTATGTAAAATTTTGCGTTTGGTTTTAGATATTCTATAATTTTTCAATATTAAGTAATAAAATTACTTTTTGCTGTTTTGTAATTTTATATTCTCTAAACTGTCGTGATAAAGTTATGTTATAAAATAAAACTCTTCAGCTGTAAACTGAATCCCAGTGTTATATTTCAAAGATGATTACAAATCATTTATTACAGTAGATAGAAATTCCACAAAATAATGTTCAAATCAATAATTAATATTAATTTTCACAAACATTATTTTATATTCACGATTTCTATCTTATAATTCTACTAATATAATTGATTTTAGTTTACTTTTTATATATCCTAAGCATCGACGTCTACATTACTCCTTTGGAATTTTGTTATGAATATTAACTATTTATAATTTTATTTGTTAGTTTGTTCAGAGTAGAGAAGAGCGTAAATTCATTTCAATGTCGTTAATAAGCGTATTGAATTTCACAATGTGGGATGAAATAAAAAGCTAAATTTATTTTCACTGAACGAAATGCTTAAATATTTAATTACTAGTTAGCATAGATCATAATCAACAGAAATTGTCTTGTTGTTTATAAATCGCAATCGCAGCTGCATGGTTCGACATTAGTTGTAAGATGCTTTCAATATGTAATTCTTTTAACGTAGTAAAGTGAGAGTAGATGTTTTTTCACTTTTCTCATCAAATATTACATCATAATAGCACAAAATAAAATGATTTCTTATTTGTAATTAACCGCTTTTATAGACGCCTACCAGTATAATTGTAAATGTGGACAGCTTATATGTAGTGCGAACATAATGAGAACACTTTGGCCGTTTATTTTCATTAAATGAAATAAGTAGAATACTTTTTTTAATAGATCAAAGCAGCTTTAAAATAATTTTTTAAAATAAAAACAACAATAATTTAAAAAGGATAAGGCATTCTACTGACCATTATATTTTATCTCGGTGAAAGAAGAAATCAGTCATTCTAGAATGGTGCCGTTAAATGTATTTCTAGTTTATTCAGATCGCAAAATGGTTACTGCTTTTTTGTAGTAAGATTGACGACACACACACACACACACACATATACATATATTTATATATTATATATACATTATAGCACTTAGTAGCATTGTTTATCCGTTTATCTGTTTAACATTTGTAAGTGAATTTAAAATATTTATAAAACATTAGAATTATTTTCAATGAAACAATATTTTTTGTACATTTCTGTTTCAATTAAACCTCTCAAATAATATAATGTATATCACAATATTGTGTTAGAAATTTTATTTACAACTTCTAGAACAGATTTGACGTAAAATTACTGGGAACAAATTTGCCATCAAACCATATCTTGTAATTTTCAAAAAGAAATGGCTTTCTGTAGAAAAAAATTCAGAAAATTCTATACATTCCTGATTAACGAGAAACGATTTACTAAGTATTTTTTACTTATATGTAGAGTACACTTACACATTAACGCTTCTCTCAGCAGAATGTACAGAAGATAATTGAAGATGTAATTATTTGACGTTGTTAGTTTGTACGTGATCTTCAATTGAGAAATAATACAGTATTTATAATAGGGGAAGCAAATAAAAGTTACAAATATTCTATGCAATTGGTAATTGAACTTCTTTCTGGTTTACTCATAAGACTTCGCCGACGTCGCCTATGAGCGAAACTAGCACATAACAAAGCATGAGAAATCTGAACGCTTGCAATATCCTGTAATAATCCAGAAAACTTAAAGTAAACGTCTTACTTGTCATCAGCAGATTTACGTTTTTAGACAGATAGATTCATTTTTGAAGTTAAGCTGTCATGTCAATTATGCTTACTTGACTCTCGATTCAGTGCAACTACATTACATTGCGAACAAATAGTAACATTATTTATTGTACACGAGAACAGTTACAATAAATAGATAAAATGTAAACATTTATTAAAGACCGTAACACTTTTTTGCTAATTGTCAGCATTATAACTTTTATTATCTTATTGTTATCACGATCATTTCGATAACTCGTGATTGGAATTCAATATGTATGTGAAAATAAATGTATTTACATATCAATATTATTGGTGTTAATAATGATTAATAAAGCACAGTTTTAAATCTTTGACGAGTTTGTTTGTTAGTCATTACATCTGATGCTAAATATTACGATAAAAATATTTATAAAGTAGAAATGTTACAGCCGGATTATTTTCTGGTTAGTATAATAATATCTAATTGTTGAATTCTAATCTATTTAGATTAAACGTAATTAACATTTCTTGATAAAGTAAAATTATATACAGTAGTTATACATTTATGTTTATTTTACGCGTTAATAGTTACGATAGAAGTAACTTCGTTCGATGTTAGGGTAAGCCCGAAGGTTTACGGGCCCGGAATTTTAAAGATTTGTAGCTATTGAATTCGTTTTTCTCGACCTTAATGTAATCGTCTGCCGATAGAAAAATATCGACTAGGATGTCTCCCCGGTTGTCAACATGGGAAAGTTGACGGATTGTTTCGAAAGACCATCGGTCGTTTATGAAACGACGTGACGAAAATTGCAATCATCGCGCACCTGCGACTTGAACTGTGAAGAACGGACTCATTTCTCACGCTGATGAATAAAAGCACGGGCAACCGGAAGCTTGACATGATTCGTCTTATGAAGTTTTATCTGAATTAGTGTCCATCTTGGTTTTCCGGGATAACGGTAGAAAACATTAGGATTTCCGCTACTTCCGTAGAAAGATCGATCGTCACGTACAGCTCTCTAAGTCCATTGAGAGGTATTCGCTAGCTCAAATTGGGAACTCTTTCTTCGCGAGACAGAAATTAGGCACGCAATATAGTGTAGAGACTAGTCTTGGATATTTTGAAATCGTTAGTTAACACCATGTAACCTTTGAACTTGTATCACCCGCCTGTATATTAGCTTTAGACATTTAATAAATTCTTTGTTAGTAGTTAAATCTGTCAACCTCTGTATATATTTAACGAAAGACACAATTGTGGACTTACCGACGCGCTCCCCACTCGTTTTTTTTCTCTCCTCGCCATCCGAAACGACAACGTGAGCGGTATTTGCAGACTGTTCCGAGTAATTGGTTCCTAAGGTAAACCCCTAAAATTCCTAGAACCTTTCTCACATTAGAGTAATTAAATAAAACAGATATAAATTAATTATTCTAATAAATTGTTCAATGTAATTGAATATAATTCCACCGATTACTGTGTGACGAATAAGAACCACTCATCGTCAGCACCTTTATTTCTCATTTGACTGGACCTTTTACTTTGATATTCCTTACGGACAAAACTGATGAATCGAATTAAACTAAGTTTTAAGTACTTGTTCTGACTTTATGCAAGACGTTTAAAGCAAAACAGAAAAAAAAAACCACTCTATATTGAACAGTGTTCGTATATAGCACATTCAGATAAAGCTGACATTATCCGTCATCATAAGTTTCATCAACAAAAAATTATAATTCGAAAAGTTCTTCGTTTTCAACCTGAAAGATTTTACAATTCAAATTACACGCATAAATTATATTATTTAATTCTAATCAATTATAACGTTATTTAATTCGTCTAGTGCCTTTTAAACGATATTCGTTAGCGTATAATCTTATTTTTTTGTTATTTTTTTAGTAGCTAGAAAATTATTATCATTTATAAAGATACTAGCAGATGATCCCGGCGTTGCTCGTGCAACAAAATAACCACTGCAGAGGTTAAGATTATTAAATTATTTCGTACTTATATTACATTATAGTATTTTATTTATATTTATAAAGGTTAACCATTTTACACCCAGTGCCCAACTTAACACATTGTAAAAAAATTTTAAATTGTGTCAGTAGAAGAACGAAAAATATTTTAAACGGTGTTAGATTGAGCACTGCGTGTGATAAATCTTTACGTAATGTAAACTTTATGCTTTATTAAACTTTATGCTCAATTCATTCATTTAAAACACCAATAAGATCTTTCAAACGTAATTGATATAAGAATTCAGTTCATTTGCACGGAATCGCAGTAATTTCAGAAATTTTGAAAGAAATTTTCTTTCTGAAATGTTGAAACCTCGATGCATGAACTGAGCATTTTAAGTTCTTTATCTGCAGAAACAGAGGATTAAATAATTAACATTTGCAAGAATTGATGTAACGGTATAACGGAAAAATTATTGTATTTGATACAGAAATGGAGAAATGCCATCAAAATGGACTTCTCTCGTATGTCATTTCGACTTTGACAGATATTTCCGTTGCTTTTAATGGATTAATGAATTATGGATATTCAACAAAATTACTAATAATTATTGAAGCTTTTAAAACTAACACGAAACTACGAACAGTTAATTTTATTTTATCCTTTCGGCCTAATTACGGACTTTTTTATTGAAAATTTATATAATAGAGGGAGTGCACGTGACGTCACACGACTCCGCTTACGAAGCGCGCGCCATATTGATTGCTGTTGGTTTGGTTGTCGACCTCGATGTAATTTATATGTTTGTAAACTTTACTGTTTGTTTTAATATTTGTTTGCTTTGTTATTTTAGTTTTAAGTTTATCTTATTATTATTTTATGATATTCTGTCAATCTTAAGTATATTATATATTCACTTATTGTAAAATTTTTCCTGGTAATGCTCTACAACGGGGCCAGGAAATGTACATAATACTGTACATAATAAATTAAAATGAATGAATGAATGTCGACCTCGATATTGTCATCTAACTCATATTGTTTCAAATTTAATTTTAATTTATTATGATTCATTACACTACCAATTGAACTGCTTACAGTTAGAACTAAAGATTCTGTAACAAACAATTGAAAAAATTGTCACAATTTGTTGCGCTTTAATATACTTATCGAACAGTGTCGTTTCATTTGATTAATACAATTTTAATTTGTTATTCGGGGGTGGAAATCTTTAGTCAACTGAAGTTCCAATAATATGTAAAATAAATAAATAAATTTCGATATATTAGTCAAATGAATTACAATATTTATTCAATACTGTAATACTTTTTGGGTTTCATTATTTTGCTTAAAACTGGCAATTTTTACATCAAACTAAACAATTTGCTGTATAGTAAATATTTTATTCTATAAAATTTATACATTTTCTGAATCTTTTTGTGAGAGTAGAGCTGGCTGGGTAGAAACTTTTTTACAATTAGCTCTGGTAAAATACAGTGAAAACTGGTGGAGTCGCTATATCTGCTCTACACACACTTTTCATAACAAACACTTATTCTAATCTAGTCTAAAGAAGACCACATCTTGCTTCTACTCTGTGCTAGTGTGCTTTCTTTAATAAAATCAATTTTTTCATCTGTCAGATGAAAAGTTTCAAATACTGTCCTGCAGTGATTTAACAGCTGATCCCAGGGTAAAACAGCTTTTTTGGCATCAAATAGAGTTGTAAGTGGGTTCTTATGGAAACATGAATTGACGTGGTTTGTAAAAGAATTAGAGTAACCTGGCATCATCACTGATAAAATTGCAGCAGTTGGATTATGAACAGAAATTTTTCAAAAACTGTTCAAATTCTCTCTTACTAGGTTTGTTTATACAAGTACAAGTCGACCCCCCTATAACACTGTCGGTTTTTCCGTTTTATATGAATTCCATGTTGTACGAGTCACTTAGATTTTACAAATACGTGAGCCGTTCACAGCCCGGCACACGTATTTGTAAAATCTAACTGACTCATACAACATGGTCTTCATATAAGATGGAAAAATCAACAGTGTTATAGGGAGTCGACTGTATTTCAAGTTTTATCACTTGACAAATAAGGTTTTTGTATATATTTTTCTTCAAGGCATTGCTGTTTGCTTGCAGTTGCAGCTGACGTAAAGTTTATTTTTTGTAGTGGTTTGTAACCACAATCTTTTACATGTGGCACTATCTAATTATTTGGTCGGTCAGTACATGTCTGGGAGATCTTTATTATAATTCCTTCTGCATTGGCAAAAAGAATAACACCAACACGAGAGCAGGAAGAAGATTGCCCAGCCACGCAATTGCAATGCCCAGTTATCACCTTTTCATTTTTCTTAGCTAAAACCCACACTACTGAAGCTGGCTGCCGTAGATTTTGTGAGTAATTAATTAACCTGTGTACAAAAGCAATGTAAGAAACTCTGCTATTTACTTCTAATAATATATTTAAACAATAATATGTTATTAAATCACACTTCTTGCCCACAACATAAATTAAGATTAAAAACTAATTAGCCTGATAAACCTCCAATTTATTATAGTCATATTTATCAAATAAGAAACTGATTAGAGCAGAATAGACTAAACTTTTATAAAAACAATGCCCTTTAATTAACCATAATCAAACTTTTAGTAGAATGAATTTCAAGCATCTCTGCATGGATGTATTATGTTGATGTGGGTCTTTGTGCTTGAAATATGCTGACGAGAAGCTTAATTAATTAAAATGCATTCTACTAAAAATTTCACTGTCGTTAATTAAAAGCTATTTTTTTGTAAAAATTTAATTAATTGTGCTCCAGTCAGTCCCTGATATGATAAATATGGCAATAATAAATAGGGGAGGTTTATTAGGCTAATTAATTTAATCTTAATAAGTTGTTAGACTCGCACAAAACATAACCATTGGGACAAAATAAAAAATTTGATGGTAATTATAAATACAACTTAATCAACTTAAAATGTGACTAAATATAAAATTAAATTCGTCTTTATATAACGCAGTTTATGTTATGAGAAATGGAAAGTCTGAAATGAAGATACGTACTGTACCTTTCCTACAAGCAAAATTAAATCATTGCGAACGGATCTTGATAAAATTTCTCGATGAATAAATCCGCTTGTCAAATAATTATGAGCATCGAGTGATTTGTATGCCTTCATCTGATCTAGTGTGACAGCGTTAGTTGTTAAAACTAAATAATTTACTATGTCTCCATGTTCTATAGTGGGCCACGTGGTTAAATCGTTAGATAAAAAATCTGTTGGTTTCATTTCGTATGTATCCCATCCAATAAAAGAAATTTTTTCTTTATATTCTATCAAATCATTATCTTTTAAATCGGCTGCATAGCCAGGTAAGATGCCTTTCTTCCACGTTGACATAATAAGCGAACGAGCGAGCAAACATCAGATAAGCAACCAGTATGGTGGATGATTGTTTTGGTGGGCGGGGCGATGACGTTCTATCACGTGACTGCACCTCCTGTATTGCTACTGAAAGATAATATTCTTTATGTAAAAAAGTATTTTAATGTTTAATGTTATTTCATTGTTATAAATCGACGTATTACACACAATTTAACAGATAGAAACAAACACGTCTAAAATAAAGCGATAAAAAAACAAAATGCATACGAAAGTAACGCGCGTGCGAGAGACGATTTCTCATGCATTTTTCATCGTGTTCTGTTCGAACTTCGAAAGCAAATAAACTTCGAGTTTTTATCTGTAATGAATCTTAGATTAGATGAAAGAACGAACTTTGAAGCGTGAAAATGCCCATGCTTTTTGTGAAAAATTTCTGCGTGAAAGGATTTAAATTTTTTTTATAAAACTCATTCTTACCCTAAGAATTAAGTTATTTGGCCATTTTATAATTAAAAATATGAAACTTCATTTTTATAAATATCGTAACACACGGCGCCAGCAAATGTTGCCCAAAGAGTTAAGCGAGTCGTTGCTGGATTTTTAATAACGAATTTACAAGCTAACAATTAAATAAAAAATAAATCTAAAATACGCCTCAAGGTGTTCTTAACAAAACATTATTTAAATGCACGTGATTGTATAAATTATTTCAATAGTTAAAGTAAATATTACAGATTATCATACTATTAAAGAAATAATCACAAAAACTCTTGACTCGCCTTCTTTGTTATAACGATAAAGCTGCGATGCCAACGAACGAAACTTAAATTATGGTATCGATATTAAAATCTATTTCTGCTTTAATTAAACATTAAAAATAGAAATATTCGACACAGACGCAAAGTTTACTTATAAAATTTAATGTAGAGTTGATTTTAAATTTAAAACTGTAATTGTTTACTAACAAAAAGGTGCACGAACTCGAAGAATATTTATTTCTGAAAAAATATAAAAATATATATATATATATATATATATATATTTATATTTTTTCAACAATTATAGTACTTTATCAAACAAAAAATGGGAATAGAGGATTTGAGGCGACAAATACGAAGATTAACAATAGATATAAATTACTTCAAGTGTTTCTTGAGAGAAGAACACACGCCAGTGACACTTTGCTTACCTGCATCTATACGTTCAAGTATTCGACAGAGTGATATACAGAAAATAGAAAGAATGATTATGAAATCGGCAATTAAAATAAAAGGCAGAAAAATATTTTTGTTACGTAAAAAATTAAAGAAAATGAAAAGAATTAATGGAAATAATGTATCTATAGACTATAATTTAGATCCTTACTTATTTAATAAAAGTATTAAGTTAAAAAGTAAACTCGAATATCCTACTTATTTGGAAAAACAAGAATAATTAGAGAAATTGATAATTAATTGTACCAACGTAGTGATACCTGGTGACTTTACGAGATTTCTGTCGTGGGGATATAATACGAATCTTCCAATATATGCTAAACCATATCCGATAGTGGCTGATATAGAAAATGTTATTCAAAAATTACCTGGAAATAATGAGGAAAAGGCGATGTTACGGTCCAATATAAGTAAGGATTTGGAAAAGTATAAAGGTAAAAATGGTTTCATAACTGATAAAAAAGCAATAGAAATAAATAAAAAAGCTAAAAGGTTAATAAAATTTTTTGATAATAATAAACTTTCTATCCTTAAAGCAGACAAATCGCATCAACTGGTTATATTAACGAGAGAAGAAGTAAAGCAAAAGAAAAAAGAAATCGCTATGTCTAATGAATACGAAAAATTAACATCAGATCCATTAAAGGAAATACAGAATAATTTAGTGAAACTAATTAAGAAACATAAACAGCATTTTTCAAGTCAACAGGTAAAAAATATACTAGATTTCAATAATATAAGACAACCACAATTAAATTTAAGAGTTAAGACTCATAAACCAGGTAACAAGTGTAGACCATTAGTTGATTTTAAAAAAACAGTCTTATATAATTTGGAATGCTATTTAAAAACTTATTTGCAGATAATTAGCAGACCAGCATACAGTATCAAGGATACAGATGAACTAATCAATGGATTATTGAAAGGTAAAGTTATGCAAAATCACCGTCTTATGAGCTTAGACATAGAATCAATGTACCCATCTATAACATTGGATATGATAAAAGAATCTATTAGTAAATATGAAATACCAGATTATATAGTTCTTCTTATAGAGTTTATATTTAAAAATAATTATTTTAAAATTAACACAGATTATTTTCGCCAAAAAGATGGAATATCAATGGGATCAGTGATTGGACCTAAATTAGCAGAGATTTGTATGAAATCAATTGATGATAGTATATCAAAAGTTCCAGGTATAGAATTTTATGCTCGTTATGTGGATGACATATTAATTATTTTTGATTCCTGTATGGTAACACCTCATGAAATAGAAGATTATGCGAATACCTTACAACCCAATATAAAGTTTACTAGTGAATTGGAACAGAATCAGGAAATAAACTATTTGGATGTGACTATTAAGCGTGAGAAAACGCAATTGGTGTTCCGTAAGTATGAAAAATTGTGTAATACAGAAAAAACAATTAGTTATAAATCTTATTGCCCTATAGAAACTAAGAGAAACGTTTTTACCATGGAATTGAGGAAAATACTAAACAGAACAACACTCTATGAAGATATAAATAAAGAAATTAAACAATTATTTAGAAAATATTTATTGAATGATTACCCGAAGAATAAAATTTGTAAGTGGTATAATTCTTTTATAAATTACAGATATAATGTTAAAAATTGTATAGATAATAACATTTATGTAAAAATGCCTTATATATATAGTTTTTATGAACGATATAAACCTTTATTTAAAAAGTCTTCTGTATGTGTAGTGGCCAAGCAGGAAAATAAAATGTCGAATGTTATTAATATTATAAATACTAAAGGTCGAAAAACAGTAAGAAATCAGCTTGACGTCGCAGGAGTGGTCTACAAGGTATCATGTGATTGTTTACAAGCGAAATCATATGTTGGAGAAACGGGACGGAAGCTCGAGATACGCCTAAAAGAACACGAGGCAGCGATTCGTCTAAAAAGACAAGAGTCACCATGGTATCAACATTGTGTTAATTATAATTGTAAAATTAATAGAGACTCTGTAAGAATATTGTATAAAATGGAAAATTTGTTTAAAAGACGTGTGGTAGAACATCTTTGTATAATAGAACATGCAAATTTGTTGAATCAGAATGTCGGTCTTAACGTTGATGCATGCTGGGAAAAATTTATTTGTATAAAAGGAAATAAGTGTCTGGTTGTTGGATAATCCACTGATGAGGCTGTAAAGGCGAAATGCATTTGGAACGTGATTTGAAAACTATGAAAATAAAAGAATTAACATTGGTTAAAGTAAAGTATCTTTGTTGATTACTATTTGTCCGCTAATATAAATCACTCGAAGTCGGTCTAGGAAAGAGTGTTTTAATTTACTCGTCTATTTTTAGAAATTATATTTTTAGTATTCTTACCGATCCCATTGTTTTATATTTTTATATTTCTTCAACAATTATAGTACTTTATCAAACAAAAAATGGGGATAGAGGATTTGAGGCGACAAATACGAAGATTAACAATAGATATAAATTACTTCAAGTGTTTCTTGAGAGAAGAACACACGCCAGTGACACTTTGCTTACCTGCATCTATACGTTCAAGTATTCGACAGAGTGATATACAGAAAATAGAAAGAATGATTATGAAATCGGCAATTAAAATAAAAGGTAAAAAAATATTTTTGTTACGTAAAAAATTAAAGAAAATGAAAAGAATTAATGGAAATAATGTATTTATAGACTATAATTTAGATCCTTACTTATTTAATAAATGTATTAAGTTAAAAAGTAAATTTGAATATCCTACTTATTTGGAAAAACAAGAATGGTTAGAGAAATTGATAATTAATTGTACCAACGTAGTGATACCTGGTGACTTTAGGAGATTCCTGTCGTGGGGATATAATATGAATCTTCCAATATATGCTAAACCATATCCGATAGTGGCTGATATAGAAAATGTTATTCAAAAATTACCTGGAAATAATGAGGAAAAGGCGATGTTACGGTCCAATATAAGTAAGGATTTGGAAAAGTATAAAGGTAAAAATGGTTTCATAACTGATAAAAAAGCAATAGAAATAAATAAAAAAGCTAAAAGGTTAATAAAATTTTTTGATAATAATAAACTTTCTATCCTTAAAGCAGACAAATCGCATCAACTGGTTATATTAACGAGAGAAGAAGTAAAGCAAAAGAAAAAAGAAATCGCTATGTCTAATGAATACGAAAAATTAACATCAGATCCATTAAAGGAAATACAGAATAATTTAGTGAAACTAATTAAGAAACATAAACAGCATTTTTCAAGTCAACAGGTAAAAAATATACTAGATTTCAATAATATAAGACAACCACAATTAAATTTAAGAGTTAAGACTCATAAACCAGGTAACAAGTGTAGACCATTAGTTGATTTTAAAAAAACAGTCTTATATAATTTGGAATGCTATTTAAAAACTTATTTGCAGATAATTAGCAGACCAGCATACAGTATCAAGGATACAGATGAACTAATCAATGGATTATTGAAAGGTAAAGTTATGCAAAATCACCGTCTTATGAGCTTAGACATAGAATCAATGTACCCATCTATAACATTGGATATGATAAAAGAATCTATTAGTAAATATGAAATACCAGATTATATAGTTCTTCTTATAGAGTTTATATTTAAAAATAATTATTTTAAAATTAACACAGATTATTTTCGCCAAAAAGATGGAATATCAATGGGATCAGTGATTGGACCTAAATTAGCAGAGATTTGTATGAAATCAATTGATGATAGTATATCAAAAGTTCCAGGTATAGAATTTTATGCTCGTTATGTGGATGACATATTAATTATTTTTGATTCCTGTATGGTAACACCTCATGAAATAGAAGATTATGCGAATACCTTACAACCCAATATAAAGTTTACTAGTGAATTGGAACAGAATCAGGAAATAAACTATTTGGATGTGACTATTAAGCGTGAGAAAACGCAATTGGTGTTCCGTAAGTATGAAAAATTGTGTAATACAGAAAAAACAATTAGTTATAAATCTTATTGCCCTATAGAAACTAAGAGAAACGTTTTTACCATGGAATTGAGGAAAATACTAAACAGAACAACACTCTATGAAGATATAAATAAAGAAATTAAACAATTATTTAGAAAATATTTATTGAATGATTACCCGAAGAATAAAATTTGTAAGTGGTATAATTCTTTTATAAATTACAGATATAATGTTAAAAATTGTATAGATAATAACATTTATGTAAAAATGCCTTATATATATAGTTTTTATGAACGATATAAACCTTTATTTAAAAAGTCTTCTGTATGTGTAGTGGCCAAGCAGGAAAATAAAATGTCGAATGTTATTAATATTATAAATACTAAAGGTCGAAAAACAGTAAGAAATCAGCTTGACGTCGCAGGAGTGGTCTACAAGGTATCATGTGATTGTTTACAAGCGAAATCATATGTTGGAGAAACGGGACGGAAGCTCGAGATACGCCTAAAAGAACACGAGGCAGCGATTCGTCTAAAAAGACAAGAGTCACCATGGTATCAACATTGTGTTAATTATAATTGTAAAATTAATAGAGACTCTGTAAGAATATTGTATAAAATGGAAAATTTGTTTAAAAGACGTGTGGTAGAACATCTTTGTATAATAGAACATGCAAATTTGTTGAATCAGAATGTCGGTCTTAACGTTGATGCATGCTGGGAAAAATTTATTTGTATAAAAGGAAATAAGTGTCTGGTTGTTGGATAATCCACTGATGAGGCTGTAAAGGCGAAATGCATTTGGAACGTGATTTGAAAACTATGAAAATAAAAGAATTAACATTGGTTAAAGTAAAGTATCTTTGTTGATTACTATTTGTCCGCTAATATAAATCACTCGAAGTCGGTCTAGGAAAGAGTGTTTTAATTTGCTCGTCTATTTTTAGAAATTATATTTTTAATACACAATTGATCAACAAAAATACAATTACTACGAAAATGCAAATAAATGGATTTATTATCGATATATCGTAGAAACTATCTACCTCATAGATTAAACTTTAATTGTACATATCTGTCGGAAATAGAGTGTTTACAATATTTTGAACGGTTTATACTATCTAATTCTTCGTTCATAACTGTTGAATACTTATGAAGAGGATCTTCTATTTGAACTTTCAATTTTGTTGAACAGGGCATAGTATGGCTATTTCGAACTGTTATATTTGCATGGCGAATTCTCTTTTAGGAACTGCGCGTTAAGTGGCAATTCCTTCTTATGGAGAACTGCTGAGAGTGGCAGGAAAATGTCTCTTTTATACGGGTCGACGGCCGAACAGACGGCCAAGTTTCGTGTGCAAACTTTTCTGACTCAACTTGAAGACTGCCGTAAAAAAGAAAATTAACTTCCTTTCTATAACGAAAGTATTAACATCCGTTGATCAAATAAAATTTGTTAAAATTTATAAAATAGTAATTTTCTATTAACATTGAAACATTATTATTTCTCACAGATAATTCTTTAAATAACCGATTCCTAAATCTCGATTTCCATATTATAAATCTCTAAAATTCCGGGCCCGAAAACCGTCGGGTTCACACTAACATCGAACGAAGTTACTTGTATTGTAACTACTAACGCGTAGATTAAGCATAAATGTATAACTACTGTATTTAATTTTACATTATCAAGAAATTTTATTTACATTTAGTCTAAACAAATTAAAATTCAACAATTAGTTATTATTATTTAATCAGAAAATTATCCGGCTGTAACATTTCTACTTTATAAATATTTTTACCGTAAGATTGCGCATCATATGTAATGAGTAACAAACAAACTCGAGTAAGATTTAAAACTGCGCTTTATTAATCATTATTAACACCAATAACATTGATATGTAATTACATGAATTTTAACACACATAGTGAACCGAATAAAGCGTAATCGAAATGATCGTGATAACAATAAGATAATAAAAGTCATAATGCTAAGAAAAAGCAAAAACGTGTTACGGTCAGTAGCATAGCGTGAGTGTCAGCCGCCCGGGGTGGAGGAAACTTTCGCTGCCCCCTTATTTAGGTATCTCAATTTAAAAGACTAAAAATCAGTTTCGTCACAGAATAAGTAATGAAAAATTCCGTGCTCATTTCAATCGGTGCCAATCGTAGGTGTGACAAAAATATGAAATTAAATGGTTTAAATTTTTACAAGATATTATTATTTATTGTGCAATTTTGCCGCACTCTAAAAAGTGCCGCCCCCACTACGGTACGCCACTGCGTGAACAATAAATACTGTTACTATTTCTTCGCAATGTTATGAAGTTGCAATCCGTTTAATATCTGTGGTAAAAAAAAATTACGTTTACTTTAAGTTTTCTGTTACAGCAGGGGTGGCCAAAACGTGGCGCATGCGCCGAACTTGGCGCATTGGACGATTACAAGTGGCGCTTCAGTCAGTTCTGAGCAATATTGCCAGATTTGGCTTTTTTGCAATTATGAATATTACATAGAAAATTAATTTTTTATAGTCTGTCTTGGCAAGTTCATTTGTTGCACAATTCATTGCAATCAACTTTACAGATAAAATGAGTGTTCTCCACATAGTAAATTACAGTGCATGCATGTATGTTTATTTTCGATCAGAGTGCAGGTGTCTAAATGACAGTGCTAACGTCCCACGATAGCGCTATCGTACGGGCAGTCCGGGAATCGGATTGGACTACTAACTTCTTTTCCCGAGTAGTTCCTGCGACACCTGTTGACCTTTTTTTTCTTTTGCCTGTACGATACACGATACATTCGTGTTCATGTACACCACTGATATCGAATAGAACTATTTTATACGGGTAACTTCACTACAACCGCATTTTTCATTGCTTGTTCTGTGGCAAAACTGAATTTTCGTCTTATAAATTGAAATACCTAATTAAGGGGTGGCCGAAATTTTTCTCTCCGCCCCGGGCAACTAACACCCACGGTACGCCACTGCGCATCTGAACTCGTCTATCAAAAAATTGGCGCATGGTATGCAAAAGGTTGGCCACCCCTGTGTTACAGGATATTGCAAGCGTTCAGATTTCTTATGTTTTGTAGCAGTGCTGGCTTCGCACATAGGCAACATTGGTAAATGCTTAAGACTTAACCAGAAAGAATCTCAATTACATAGAATATTTTTAACTTTTATTTGCTCCCCCTATTATAAATACTGTATTAGCATTCCTGAATTGAAGATTGGGTACATACTGAAAACGTCAAATAATTACATCTCTAACGCTATCTTCTGTACATACTGCTGACAGAAGCGTTAATGTGTGGGTGTACATACACGTAAAAATACTTAGAAAATCGATTCTCGTTAATCAAGGAGGTTCAGCAAATTTTCTTCCTCTGATAGACCCGAGTGTGTTCCAATTAATACCATTTATTTTGGAAAATTACAAGAAACGGTTTGAGCGATTGGCACAGCAAATCTGTTCTATAATTTTTCAATAAAATTTATAAATCAGTATTGCGATATAGATTACACTACCGGAAATGTGAAGATGTTTAATTGAAACACAATGTACAGAAAATTGAACAATGTAGGCCTACAGAAAAACATTGTTTCATTGAAAATAATTGCAATGGTTTATAAATATTCCGTAATCACTTACAAATGTTAAACAAATAAACGGTTAAACAATGCTACAAATTGTTATAATAAGAGCCGGCCCTATATAGAGCAAACGGAGCATCCGCTCCAGGCGCTAAGTCCTACAGGGTGCCTCAGTGGTAAAGAAAATTAAAGGAAAAAATATTTCATTTCCTTTTCGATATTCTGATTGCAAGCGTGTGGCCAGTATGTGAATGGCCTTATCTGTTAAGACGCAAGTGGGTCGAGTCCGTAAGCAGGGGTTCCACCCCAGGGCGCCATAATAGGACTTCGCTGCATGCTTTAACTCGCCTCGGGCCGGCACTGGCTATAATGTATATATAATATATATATATATAGAGTGTATAATAATGTAGTTTTAAAAAATTAGAGGATTGTAAAGGATAAAATTTTGAACGTTTTGATATAAGGAACCCATAGCTGGAAATGTGATATAAAGTTTCTGCAGCACTTTGCACGTTCTATGCGTTCGATATGCTGAATAAAACAGCAGAATACAGTATATATGACAAGTTTTATTGACAAAAGAATAGAGTACAATCAAACTTTATATCGAATCAGTGGCTGCACTACTTTAGAGTAAATGTTCAGTGTGACGACCACCAACTTCGTTACATAATGTGCAACGACAAACCACGTTTTGTCCCACCCTCTGTAAGATGCCACGCTCCCCTCTGATGGTATTAGATGCTGTAAAGATGCGCTCCGTAACCTCATAAACTGTTCTTATAGGTGTTGCGTACACAAGGGACTGACGTTGACTAGTCGTGTGTTTACAGCACAGAGCCAGTAAATGCAAGGGGTCACCTGAAGGAGGACAAGCACTAAGTACACAACGTCCTGTACACAATTTCAGTTAGCCCACTGTACTTGTGTGTTTACAGTCTTCTATCCGTAGCAATAATATGACGTCAATGGAGAGAAGAATGGGCAAGCACTTCCTACTGCTGTAGACACTTTAGTTCAAATATCCGGCTATAGGTTCCTTATATCAAAACGTTCAAAATTTCATCCTCTACAATCCCGCAAATTTTTTAAACGTCATTCTGATACACCCTGTATATATATATGTTTGTGTGTGTGTGTGTGTGTGTGTGTGTGTATTGTCTATATTGCTACAAAAAAGCACTTATCTTTCTGCGATCTGAATAAACTAGAAATATATTCAACGACATCATTCCAGAATGACTGATTTTTTCCATGACCAAGATAAAATATAAAGGCCAATAGAAAGCCTTACCTTTTTAAAATTATTGTTGTTTTTATTATAAAAATTTATTTTAAGGCTTCTCTCATCAATTAAAGAAATATTTATTTTATGAAAATAAACGGCCAAACTGCCCGCATTATGTTCGCACTACATATGCGCTGTCCACATTCATAAATATACAGGTAAGCGTCTATAAATGCGGTTTATTATAAATAAAAAAATCATTTTATTTCGTGCTATTATGATGTAATATTTCACGAGAAAAGTGAGAAAACAAGAAAATTTTACTCTTAAACAATTTTCAACAAATCGGATATTAAAAGCATCTTACAAGTAATGTCGAAGCATTTCGCTATAATTGCAATTTTTAAACAACAACACACTTTCTGTTAATTATGAACTATGCTAACTAGTATTTAACTAGTATTAGTTTTACTCATTTCGTTTAGTGAAAATAAATTTAGCTTTTCATTTCATCTCACGTTTTGAAATTCAATACGCTTATTAACGACATTTAAATGAATTTACGCACCTCTCTACTCTCAACAAAGTAACAAATAGAATTAAAAAATAATTAATATTTATAACAAAATTATAGAATATATTAAACTTCATGCAAATACAAATTGTTTAACATACCCAATTTTTTACTTGTTCCACAGAATTAACCAAGTGTGTTTCATTCCGTTTTGTAATTTCACATCTAAATTAGAATATGAAAATTAGATTGATATAGAAAAGTAATATTTTATGAATGTCACACATACCTACATTGCTCTAAGAAAAAATAAATTACAAAAAATCATTTATTGAAAATAAGACAAAAAAGTGATAATCCTTTTTACAGTTTTTCAATGCCAATTTCTTTTTCTTCTTATATTTATTCAAATAAGGATTCAAC